AACAATACTTGTGCAATTAAATATTTTAACAAGCAGTTCTAATCTGAAAATAAACCGGAAAACTAATGTTTAGGGGAAAAAAAACACTTGATACAGATTATTGAATATTGCTAACCTAAAAATACTATTAAATACTATAAATATACGTATTTTTTGGCCTTTTCTTTACTAAAAACATTGTATTTTTTTAGAGTTTAAAAGTTTGATGCAAACTTAAAAATACCTGTGTTTTGGTAAATTTAATACAAAGTCGTTTCTATAAGTTTTTAGGTTTTTATTTTACATATTTTACATATGTTTTGAAGTTTTTTACAATACAAATTTTTTTTAGAGTTGAAAAGTTTGGTTGAAAACCTAACCCACTTAATTTGTATCTCCAAAACGAGACAAGATGGGGCGGGAATGGGGATTGGGGAAATGTGCTCCCTAATTTTGTATTTTTATATATTTTATAAAACACTTGCTTTAGAGGGAATAAGTGGCACCACAGAGATTTTTAAAAAAATATGTTTTTGTGAAGGAAAATTTGAAGGGATTTCCTATTCGATCCCTTTCTTTTTCCATGGAGGATAAAGCAAATATTAAGCTTACTTTATCAACATTGAAATGCAGATGTATTTTCCAAAATACTATGACTACCATAGAATGAAAGATAAACATATGTATTTGCATAACAATAACAATAAAAAAGTTCGCGGACTTTTTTAAAATCTAACAAAAATCAAAAACTTTTGCTCACAATTTTTTTGTAATTTTGAGCATTCATAAACCTTCTTTGGGGTCACGTGAGGTCCCACACAAAATAGCGGCCCGATCGGTTCAGCCGTTTTGACGTTTACTGGATAGAAGCGGACAGACAGACAAGTAGCAAAGTATATACAAATACAGAGTCTGTTTAAATTATACATTTTTTTCATGTTCCTTTTAGAAAATACTCATTGTCAAACTATACGAATACTTGAATATGTCATGTACTAATTAAAAGAATATTTGATGTACTAATTAGAAGAATATTTGAATACATTAATTACTAATTAGAAGAATATTTGAATACATTAATTACTAATTAGAAGAATATTTGAATACATTAATTACTAATTAGAAGAATATTTAAATACATTAATTACTAATTAGAAGAATATTTTAATATTATATATTTTTCAGATAACAACGTTAGAATTAGTACTTAGGATATAATTTGCTAAAGAGACTGTAAACGTATTTTTATTTAAAGCCTTACCTGCCATTATAATTGCCACAAAATTGTTCTTATTCTTATGAATAATGATGTAGAAATCCACGACGAGTCGCGGCCGCGAATTATCAATTTTCAGTTCTGAATAAATATGAGTTGTGAACCGATTTTATTAGCTTTCTTTCATAATTGTTAAAAGTTTTAAAAATTAACAAAGATGTGTTTTTGAATTTCAAAAGAAAAAAATTACAATCTTAGATAAACATCTATGCATATATAGAGAATTAATGAACTACACTGACTCATTTTCAGACATGCAATTAAAGAACTTGACAACTTTTACACGAAAATCCCCCTCCCCCTTCACCCCCATCCCTCAGAATGCATCACCTGTCAATGAACATCGCATCAATCCCTGCGTGAATTCTAAACTGACGTTTCAAAGAAACTAATAAAATGAAACGGAAAGTGAAGAAGGCTGTAAAACGGGATACAAAACCTTGAAAAGATGAAAAAAGAAGAAAAAATGAAAGTTCGTTAATAATTTAGATTTAGTTTATTTAGTTTTTAAAGCCTCATTATTTCTAATTACGCCGCGTGTAGTTTACGATTAATTTATTTGTTAAAACTCTTGTTAGTAAACCCTTGCTGCCATATTAGTTCTGCAGATTCCAGGAGAAACAGGAAGTAAGGGGAGAGGGAGGTGAAGGGAAGAGAAGGGAAGGAAATGGATCGAAGGAAAGGGAAGGGAAGAGATGAAAAGAAAAATGAAGAGATGTGAATAGAAGAGAAGTGAAAAGAATGGAATGGAATGGAAGGTAAGAAAAGAGAGAGGAAAAATAAAGAAGGGAATAAAGAGAAAGGAATATAAGTGAAGAGAATGGAATGGTAGGGAAGGGAAGCGAAGTGGAGAGAAGAGAATGGAATGGAATGGAATGGAATGGAAGGTAAGAAAAGAGAGAGGAAAAATAAAGAAGGGAATAAAGAGAAAGGAATATAAGTGAAGAGAATGGAATGGTAGGGAAGGGAAGCGAAGTGGAGAGAAGAGAATGGAATGGAAGGGAAGTGAAGAGAAGAGAATAGAATGGAATGGAATGGAAGGGAAGAGAAGAGAAGAGAATGGAATGGTAGGGAAGGGAAGGGAAGCGAAGTGGAGAGAAGAGAATGGAATGGAATGGAATGGAAGTGGAGAGAAGAGAATGGAATGGAAGGGAAATGAAGAGAAGAGAATGGAATGGAAAGGAATGGAAGGGAAGTGAAGAGAAGAGAATGGAATGGTAGGGAAGGGAAGCGAAGTGAAGAGAAGAGAATGGAATGGAATGGAAGGGAAGTGGAGAGAAGAGAATGGAATGGAAGGGAAATGAAGAGAAGAGAATGGAATGGAATGGAATGGAAGGGAAGTGAAGAGAAGAGAATGGAATGGTAGGGAAGGGAAGCGAAGCGAAGTGAAGAGAAGAGAATGGAATGGAACGGAATGGAAGTGAAGAGAAGAGAATGGAATGGAAGGGAAGCGAAGTGAAGAGAAGAGAAGATAATGGAATGGAATGGAAGGGAAGTGGAGAGAAGAGAATGGAATGGAATGGAGGGGAAGCGAAGTGAAGAGAAGAGAAGGGAATGGAATGGAAGGGAAGTGGAGAGAAGAGAAGGGAATTGAAGGGATAAAGCAATTTATAAAAGTGTGGAGGCGAGAAAAGAGAATTAAATTTGGAGGAAGTTGGTGTAAAGTTCATTGCACGGCCCGCTTATAGATATGATTCTATCTATCTATCTACACTGAACTCGGCCACAGTACAAATTTTATTTTGGTAATTTTTTCCATGGGCAGAAGAGAAGAGAATGGAATGGTAGGAAAGGGAAGGGAAGCGAAGCGGAGAGAAGAGAATGGAATGGAAGTGAAGAGAAGAGAATGGAATGGAAGGGAAATGAAGAGAATGGAATGGAATGGAATGCAAGGGAAGTGAAGAGAAGAGAACGGAATGGAAGGGAAGCGAAGTGAAGAGAAGAGAAGAGAAGAGAATGGAATGGAATGGAAGGGAAGTGGAGAGAAGAGAATGGAATGGAATGGAATGGAGGGGAAGCGAAGTGAAGAGAAGGGAATGGAATGGAAGAGAAGTGGAGAGAAGAGAAGGGAATTGAAGGGATTAAGCAATTTATAAAAGTGTGGAGGCGAGAAAAGAGAATTAATTTTGGAGGAAGTTGGTGTAAAGTTGATTGTTAGGAGGGGGTTAGAAGTAGATTGTAAATAAATAAGAAGGAATAAAATGGGATGGGGGGGGGGGGGTTCTTCTAAAAAAATATTTTCAGACAAATTTTAATCCATGATCCTTATTTCACGTTCAGCGCCATTCATGGAGCAGTAAAAAGGTGCAAAATTTAACAATATCCAGGGTAGACCTGTTTAGACCTACAGTTCTACAGGGTGGATCGAAAAAAAGAATCACGACTGCATTGAAAAATCTCTCACTAAGAACCCACTTTTTTGCACAAACTTGTTACGTGCACGACAAAATTTACATCAAGGTGTAGTGTCCATTTTTTATGTTTGTAGTTTTTTTATTCACCCTGTAGACCTGTAGGCATCAAGGCATCATTCTATACTCAAATTAGGGGTCAACTCTCCGACAAGGGTTAGCAAGTGGTCAGGGTTTACCACAAACCTAAGACCTTCAAAAGTAAAACAAAGGAATTACACAAATATTTAGTTTTTATTTTTCCAAAAATAATGAAGTTTTTAAAAACTGTTTAAAAAAAAAATTTATTTTGAGAGCTTTTTGGATTTTAGGTGCCCCTGTTAAGTGTACAGGGAGGAAGGATTAAACTCTATAATATTCTCTTCAGCGCCTACCCCTAGGAACACCCTGTTCCCTTTCATTTAACCCGTAATATCTAACATAACATTAGGAACATGGATTTTTAGAATACGATGTTGCTTCGTCACTAGTTAAAGTCTCCACAAATAAGATTAAATGAATCTAGTAAACAGTAGTTGAACCACGAAGATTAAGTTAAAACCCTTCTCTTGTGGTTCAAAGAAGTGGTTTAATGTATTTTTTTCGGTTCAACTACGACTCTTATTCATTAAATCATGTTTAAGAATAGTTCTTGTTCATCGCGTGCATTTATTTAGAACAATTATTCAAATAAAAACTTCTTTTTAAGTAAGTTAAGATCATCCTTCCCTCCCCCCTTCCCTCAATCTCAATCTCAATAATTGCATTCTTAGTATTGTCATAAATCTCAAATTTGCAAAAGTCACAGCAAAAAAATTCCGAATATTCGCATAAAAAAAATATATTTAATGATGGAATATGATCACTAATTACGCAATAAAACATTGTAATTGATGAACATTTTTTAACATAAACATAACTTTACACATATACAATTTCAACGTAATGATTTACATAATTACATTTGTATTTATAAGATCTTATAATCTTGTTTTGAATCAGAAGCATGGACCCGTAATATCGAAGGATTTAACTAAATGACCCCAATTTGCATATGTAAACTTTTTCCCCGCTGATAAAAACTTCGGTTTAGTGATCTTGACGCAGATCCGTACGTAGCGTCTACATCGCCCATCTTCTTACGCACTAGGCTTGTTCAAAACATTAAACTCGCGCAGTTGTTTCTTATTGTTCAATATTTTATTATTTCATTAAAATACGAGAAATAAAAACAATGTCAGATTTGAATTTATAATTAAATATTGTTGAAGTTTGAACAGACCTAGTTTGTTGAAGTTAGTATGTTGGATGTGCCGTTGTGTTAATATAAATAGAGGGAAGAAGAAGAGTTTCAGCAGTTCTCCTCCCTTCTCCTCAACATGCAGTTATACTACAGCATTCTAGGTTAATATTTGTGAATACATATTCATCTATTCATTGATATTCGTGAATATATATTCATCTATCCATCCATATTCGGGAATATATATTCATCTATTAATTGATATTCCTTAATATATATCTATTCATCAATATACGTTAATATATATTTATCTATTCATTGATATTCCTGATTATATATTCATCTATTCATCAATATACATTAATATATATTCATCTATTCATTGATATTTATGAATATATATTCATCTATTCATCAATATACGTTAATATATATTAATCCATTCATTGATATTAATGAATACATATTCATCTATTCATCAATATACGTGAATATATATTCATCTACTCATCAATATACGTTAATATATATTCATCTATTCATTGATATTCATGAATAAATATTTATCTATTCATCAATATACGTAAATATATATTCATCTATTCATTGCTATTCATGAATATATATTCATCTATTCATCAATATACGTGAATATATATTCATCTATTTATTGATATAAATGAATATATATTCATCTATTCATAAAAATACGTGAATATATATTTATCTTTTCATCATCTTTCATCAACATATTGTTGCATAAGCAAATTATCTCTAAGCTTTAGCGCCAAAATTACTCCTAAAAACCCTGTTTGAGAATTTTTATATTAGCTTGATAGTTTTTATTTACAAAATTATGCAGAATGCTAAATTCATAAAAATAAAATTATGATTTTCATTAATTCAATTTTTTTTTAATTTTTTTATTGTTCAAACCTTTTAATTTTATTATAATTTAGATATCCTTTTGCAAAAAGGTTTTAAGCATGAGGAAAGCTTATTATCCAAAATGCAACCCTGTTTTTATTATCTTTGTCTATTTAAGAATTTTCTCAACTTCCATGGATATTATCTAAAAAGGATTGGGATTAAAATAAGGAAAAGAGAAAAAATGTCGTGTCTAATCGTTGGAGTAATTAAGTATTTTAACCAAAGCGGAAATTTTGGCAAACTTTGATATAAATATTTTATTTTAATTACTTGAAAATACAGACAAATTTGATTTTGGTTTCCGGCGATTTTAAATGAAAAGTTTGTATTCGCTGGGGGTAGTTTAAAATTCGGCGATTTATATTTGATTTAAGGCGGGGTTTTTTAGCGGTTAAATATTATGATTAATTTTATGCTGGATGCATGATTAATTTTTGAATATTTGAATATAAATTAATGCATTGTATATATTGATATATATACAATGTATATATGTAGATATAGATACAGTGTATATATGTAGATATAGATACAGTGTATATATGCAGATATAGATACAGTCTATATATGCAGATATAGATACAGTGTATATATGTAGATATAGATACAGTGTATATATGCAGATATAGATACAGTGTATATATGTAGATATAGATACAATGTATATGTGCAGATATAGATACAATGTATATGTGCAGATATAGATACAGTCAGGGGCGTATTCAGGAATTTGTCCAGGAGGTGTGCTTAAATTTTCTTCTCTACTTTATTGCCCTCGTCGCCCTCCTCATTTTGCATACTGCAATCTGCAGATCTCTACTCTGCAAAAAAAAAACTGCTGATCGGAACTCTTGCAACACATCCTTTACAGAATACATTGTTTACTTTAGCTGTCACAATTCTTATCAACCTTAAATATAGTTTAAGATTGCAAACTTTAAGGAAAATTTTGAGAATAAAAGAACTAAACTGTTTTCTGTTTGGTTTTGATAAATTTTCTATGTGAACGACAAAATTAGGACTAAAAGAGAAATAGGGGATTGATCGGATGTCGGGGGAGAAGTTGGGGGAGGGTCCATTTCTTCCGTTTATGGGTTTGGCATCCATTCCTGGAGCTCATTTTATACCTTTGTTTTGCTGAACAGAGTGGGGTGGAGGGGAGGCCATGAACCAATCCATTTATAGGCTTCATTTCATTGGAAGTTTAGGCTTTTATGAAGAAGGAAGGTTTCTGCACAGAACAGATATATTAGAAATAGATAAGGCATATTATTGAAGACAAACATTACTATTTCAATCCGGAAGAGCGTTAATAGTTAAATCTTTAATGTTGTAAAGAGGAAGTGTTAATAAGGTTAAATGGTCCTGACCCTAATCCAATTAGGTAATCACAGTTTGCACTCCCTTTCCTAGCACCGTTTATTTGTATTTCCATCAATAAGCGTATCTTTATTAAAATGCCGGAATATATTCTTATCAGAAACTAATCTTCTTCCGACTTGCAAAGAAGAAATGAATGTTGGGAGCTGAAAGGATAATCTGTGAGAATAATGGGTTGTAAATGCATAAGCATTGACAAGGTTAAATTGGAGATGTCATGGCAGAGGATAGAGGAAAAAGGGTGACATGTGCTAATTACATAATTAAGCACAATGCCTTAAATATTTATTGTTTTGCAAAAATGTACAATGTTTGTAAACGTTAACAATTATTAATTGACAATGCTTTTAATGTACATTGTACAGCATGTACATATTGCACGTATGCATAGTGTTCTTGTACGTACCCTCCAAGTATGGCATCTATTCCTGACAATCGGTTGTAAAATATTGCCTGGGGTTTTGAGTGGTTTGAACTCTTAACACGGAGCCAGGGGGGGCCTCACCTCTAAATATATATAATCCCATCCTTAGAGAATATTATCATACTTCCTACTTAAACTTTAAACATAATTCATATTCACCAGTACAAAAATTAGAATCATAATTAGTGTTATATATTGACTAAGACTATTTATTCTTCAAAGTGTTTCATCAAACATTTTAGATTATTTTTTAATGACTAATTTTATTTTATTTTGCAGCCCTCGCAGTCCTCGGCTGTGCCAGTGCCCAACGTCAACGCCCCCGTGGTGGCCGTCAAGGCACTGGATACTCAGCACCTGCTGACAACGGCTATGCTGCACCCGCCAATGATCCCCAGCCTGCTTACGGCAATGACCAAGATGTTTACCAGGTAACAACACAACTAATAACATTTTGAAAATATATAAATTGATTTTATCATTTTTTTTTGTCAGGGAGCTGCCTCCAGCCCCGTAGGAAGTGATGACAACCTCGCCATGTTGGAGAAAGCTGTTCCCGGGGTACCCGGAGAAGACTACCCCATCTATGCGGAGGTTCCAGAATCTGGATTTGCCTGTGATGGTCAGGTCGATGGAGGATACTACGCTGATCCTGAGGCTGAATGCCAGGTCTTCCATATCTGCACTGCTGACGGTCAGGGTGGACTTTCCAAGTACAGCTTCCTCTGTCCTAATGGAACCATCTTTAACCAGAACTACTTCATCTGTGACTGGTGGTTCAACTTCGACTGTTCCTCTGCCGAGGGTCTCTACTCCCTCAACGATGACATTGCTGCTGAGAGAGAAGCTGCTTCTCCTGCTGCATCCTCTCCTCAGGGATCTTATGCTTCACCTGACGCTGCTCCCATTGGAGGATATAACGCACCTCCTCAGGTAGCTGAGGCTGCCCAAGCTGCCTACGGACCTGCTGCTCGTAACGCAAGAAATGGACGTGGACCTGAACAGCCCTTTAACCAGCCTGCCGCCAGAGCAGGAAAAAGGGGTGGAAACAGGAGAGGATAAACAGGAAATGTTGCAATATTATCTAGTCAGCTTACTAGCTTTAAGAATGTTGAATGTATGAGAACGTCTAGAAATGAATGATCTGGAAATCTGGGAACTGAATTCTTCTAAAAGTCTTCTATTTTCTATATGCTTTGGTAATTAACTTTAAAATACCCCTTAGACAAAATAATTGTCTCCTCAAGTAATCCAAAACCCCTCCAATGATCCCCCAAATCCCTGATTGCATTCCCAGAAAAGACCAACCAGAAACTGATTGAACGCTTGAATTATGGCTAGAAAATAATTTATCTTATTTATTGATTTTGCATAATAAAGAATACATTCTGTATACATGTTGTCTTTTCTTCTATAGAGTTGGAAACTGACAAGTTTATCAACAGTTGATGATCATAAGGAACAGTTTACAAACTGAAGAATATTGTAAGTTTACATAACAAATATTATATTTTAATTTTTACAAATATTTTGTTAGGTAAAAATATTAGGATTGGGCTAAGTAATTAAGCATAATCCTTATGGTGTAACCCTTTTATATTTCAAGGTATTTGATCATTGAGAAGTTATTGTTTTATCTACAAGGTCTGCAGACTGCGACATCAAATTGATATGATATTGGAATTAGATATATATACTTCGTAACGAGTTTTTAGTTAAAGCTATACCATTATCATTGAAAATCTAAAATTCGTTTTTTTCCTTCATTTTTCATGAAAGTTCAAAAGAATTGATTCTATGCCACAAACTCGTATTTTCTAAAACCTAAACCTTTGCTAACTAAGTTTAAAATATCAAAGGGTTACACTGCCAGGTTGTAAAGATATAGGAATTATAAAATCTGGGTTTATGGCAAAAATTCAATTCCTTTTCTTGTCTAATCAAATAAATAAAATCTTTGCATAGTTTATGGTAGTTTATGGTAGTTTGCACAGTTTATGATAGTTGAAGAGTATGAAAGATTTTTGTTTCACTCCCATAAGTTAATTAAGCCTGTGTATACATATATAACACTAGCTATACTTCATGATTTAAGTATTTTTGTTTTTAATCCATCAATAAGAGAATTATGCAAAATTACCAATTTATTGGCACCTATACAATAGTAGAAATAATGTACAAAGAGAAAATGGTTCAATATTGAGTTTAAAACAAAAAGATTATTTATAGATAGATGGGCGCGAAGCGTCCGTACCATTTGACCAATGATCATGTCACTATGCTATGCATGGAATGAAATAAAGCTATCAATAAATCCAATTGCAGTTGATTTAAATGATTGAGCAGCATACAATTCTAATATTTTCACACGATTTGCATTATTTTGTCGAAACAAAATGCCTTGTGCCTACAGGCTACAGGCAGACATTATCTCCGACGTACATGTGCACTTTGCAGTGAAAATGATATCGGGTTTAAGCAAAAAGATTTCTAATATATTATTTACTCTCACAGAAAAATTTAAATCAACAGAAATTAAAACTCACTCTCGGCTTAATCAACGCAAACTTTAATCACAAGGAAATTAAAAGATTGAATGAAAACTATTGCAAACCAAAAACCAGCGTTTTATGAGAAAAATGATATTAAAGAAATATGGAAGAAACCTATTCGTTAAACATAAGAATTGAGAGACGACTTCAATATCATCTTCAATTTTTTTACTTGACAAACAAGATTTTTAAAAGCAATCTTCTTTTCAGAGTTTTAAAACATATTTTTTATCTAAAGCTCTTAAAAAAGAGGAAGTGTTTAAAAACAGGCAAGATTTCAAACTAACTTTGGTTTAATGTCAATTAAAAACGTAAAGATTAGAAAATTTATGTTAACTTTCTGGTAACAACAACGAAATAATCAAACTTCATTCTACAGATTAGAATTATGTAAAAAATGACACAATAATACCACAATAATACCACAATAATACCACAATAATACCATAAAGCTTTGTTACGTACATTTATACATTCAAAACAATTTGTGTAGTTTGTCTACACTGTCTACTTTGATTAATTTGTCTAGTTTGTAATGTTTGTTTAATTTGTCGAGTTTTGTTGAGATGTTTAGTTTGTCTAGTTTGTTTAGATTCTCAAGTTTGACTGTTTTGTTTACTTTGTCTAGTCACAATAATACCACATAATCAGAATCAAAATTGATCGAAAAACACGAGCAGTGAAGATATACAATTTCGTTTATTAGGTTTAAATACCAAATTATCTTTTATTTTCATCTTACCTTTAAAAATTCTCCTTCTTTTCTTTCTCATACTTTCTCCTTTTCTCTTCTTTCTTTTTCTTTCTTCTTCTTTCTACTTCTTTCTTCTTATTTCTTCATATTTCTTCTTCTTTCTTCTACTTTCTTCTTTTTTCTTATTCTTTCTTTTTCTTTCTTCTTCTTTCTTCCTCTTTCTACTTCTTTCTTCTTATTTCTTCATCTTTCTACTTCTTTCTTCTACTTTCTTCTTTTTTCTTATTCTTTCTTTTTCTTTCTTCTTCTTTCTTCTTCTTTCTTCTTCTTTCTTCTTCTTTCTTCTTCTTTCTTCTTCTTTCTTTTTCTTTCTTATTCTTTCTTCTACTTTCTTCTTCTTTTTTCTTCTTTTTTCTTCTTCTTTCTTCTTCTTTCTTCTTCTTTCTTCTTCTTTCTTTTTCTTTCTTCTTCTTTCTTTTTCTTTCTTCTTCTTTCTTCTTCTTTCTTTTTCTTTCTTCTTCTTTCTTTTTCTTTCTTATTCTTTCATACTTCTTTCTTCTTCTTTCTTCTTTTTTCTTTTTCTTTCTTCTTCTTTCTACTTCTTTCTTCTTCTTTCTTCTACTTTCTTCTTTTTTCTTCTTCTTTCTTTTTCTTTCTTCTTCTTTCTTCTTTTTTCTTCTTCTTTTTTCTTCTTTCTACTTCTTTCTACTTCTTTCTTTTTCATTCTTCTTCTTTCTACTTCTTTCTTCTTCTTTCTACTTCTTTCTTTTTCTTTCTTCTTATTTCTTCTTATTTCTTCATCTTTCTACTACTTACTTCTTCTTTCTTCTTCTATCTTCTTCTTTCTTCTTCTTTCTTCTTCTTACTTTTTTCTTTCTTCTTTTTTCTTCTTCTTTCTTCTTCTTTCTTCTTCTTTCTTCTTCTTTCTTCTTCTTTCTTTCTTTCTTCTTCTTTCTTCTTCTTTCTTATTCTTTCTTCTTATTTCTCCTTTTTTCTTCTTCTTTCTCCTTATTTCCTTTTCTTTCTCCTATTTTTTATTGATTTTTTTCTCCTTCTTTCTTGTCCTTCTTTCATCTTTTTTTCCCTTTTTTTACCTTATTTTCCTAACTGTTTCCTGTTTTTCCTACATGTTCTGTTTTTCAAAGATATTTTCCAACATTTTCTTTCCTTTTAAGTTTTAAACAAAAACTTGACGAACCCCCCCCCCCCCTCCCCATGTTCGAATAATAATAGTATTCTAGATTGCATTTGTTGTTTAGAACTAGCCTTGAATTTAAACCAGAAAGAAATTTTATTTTTATCTTTGCAATCATTATTGTTGTTTTGTTTTATTACTGTAATTATCATTATTTACAGTTTTAAGAATTTTCAAGGTTAAAGGGAATGCTCAGAAATCTGGGTAAAGTTTGAGGTACCAAGTAAGCTTGAAAGGATTCTAATAGTTTTTTTTTGAATTTTGCTCAAAGTTTTTTATTCCCTTTTCTGACATTTACAAGAAAAATACTCTAACAGAAATAGTTACATTATGTCTTCTTAAATCAGGTATTAAAAGGCTTATTCTTGAAAAAGACAATATATTTGGACAGCCTGTAAACCCACCTTTTCAAGAGAAAGGTATTAAGTTCTTAGCACAAACTCAAATTTTCTAAAATCTCTATGCTGTAGGATCTAACAGAATTCATATTTTGAAATATCATAGGTCTTACACTTCCGTTTGTGAAGATATATGGAATATATCTTGTTCTGTTCCCTTGTTTGATTAGAATTAGAATGCTTAAAAATACCATACAAAACTTTAAACATTTTTTTTACAAGGAAACTGAATTAAAAATCACATTTTTTATTCAACAGAGTTGTTGAAATTTTTTAAACTGTTTAAATTTTATTTTAATAAAAAAATGAGTTCTCTCACAAAAGATTACTTATGTGATTTTTCTAATTTCTGTAAATTGAAAGTTTCCAAAGAAAATATATATATATATATTTAGTGCAATAGTTTATATTTCAAACTGGGTCAAAAAGTACGAGATTGTAAAGACGACCTGAAACTCTGAAAATTTGACAATTTCAAGGTTAAATCAACTTTTCTGTCTCAAACATACAATTTTTACGCTTATCCAATCAGAGTTATGAATCCTTAAATCGGCGTTATCAGTAAATGGAAAAATCTACTTCTATTGAAACTATAGTGAACGCAAGAATGATTGCAGGTTGATTGATTTTCAAACTAAATTATTGTTTTTTTAAATTAGATATCATTGCATTAATTCAATCATTATTTTTTTATTTAACATTAACATAAACATTGTAAAGCAAATGAGCATTATCAATTGATTCAATTAAAACTCTAAAAAGAGCATATTACACTGCCAATTGGTTATTTTCGAAGCTTAGAATCGAAAATAAATTTATGGCATCGATCATTCGATAACATTGCCACTGTAATGTAATAAAATGCAACAACATAGTTTCGCCAAACAGCAATATCAGTGAGTAGCAATGTAAATTAGACGATAAAATGTACCTCACAGAAATATGACAGATTTTACAGATCTAAAGACGTTCATTCTAAAATTTTGCTTTCAGTATATTATGCTAAAATTTTGGTCTCACTATGTTATGCTTAAAAGTCCAAATCCTTTATATTCGTCTTTCAATAAATGAGTGTTTAATCAAAGATTCAAATTAATTCAAATAATTAATTAGATTAAAGGGAGTGTTCGCGAAATTGAAAAGGGGGTATATGCTCACGGCGAAAATTAGCGCTTTTGATCGCTACTAATCTTACTTCTATCTGTTGCGTCTATAAGGAGATAATTGTTAAAACGACTCAAGCTGAAAAACGTGGCGTCCATAAATTCATAGAATTGCAATATTCAACTCGGATCGTAAAATAATGCCAAACAAATCATTCAGATATTACAACGAATAGTCATCGATTATTTTTCGACTCATTCGTATATAGTCAATAGTTCATAATATTTTTGATTTTGTTTTTTGAATAATATTTCCCTGGCGCTGGATTTTCGAAAATTCCTGGAAAATATGAAAATGTCGTCTTCATTATCAAAAATCCTGGAAATAGGAATAAATGTTTTCAAAGATAACTATCAGATCATAAAACATATTATGAAATATTAACTATTAAATGGACGCTACGTTCTTCAGCATGAGTCGTTTTTAACAATATTCTCCTTATGGACACAACAGATAGAAGTAATATTAGTAGCGATCAAAAGCGCTTACTTTTTGCCGTAAGCCTATACCACCTTTCATTTTTTGCGAACACTCCTATTAAAGGTAATGTCAGATTCACAACTATATCCTTGAAAGCTTTGTTTGATCAAGATTGAATTTTAAAAAAATGGTAATTTTCATTTGTGGTTTCTCTGCAAAACTGACTTGCTCATTTATTGCTTCAAAAACAATGCTGAAATTGTCAGAATAAAACCCTTGTTAAGCCAAAAAACGACACTTTCTTCTACATTATTGATAAGATGAAGGTTTCAAGGGTAACGTTGTAAATCGGGCATGTCCCTTTTTTATTAATGGAGGGTCACTTAAAATTACGAACAGTCCCTTTAATAAATATCTTTAGTTCCTAATCCTAGGATATAAAATCTTTTTGTATTTTGTTTTACAATCCTTCAATAAATTTTGCAACGTTGAATAAATCATGCAGAAAAGATAGACAAAACATTTGAGATGATTTGCAATATATTTGCATGTTTATATTTGCATTGACACAGTTGATATATACATTCATGAAGTTTTGCACGCACTCTTACAGTTTATCCAAACAGTAGATAGTTCAATACAGTGGTAACAAGAAAACTGTAGATAGTTCAATACAGTGGTAACAAGAAAAAAGTGGAATTATTTTGGTCTGTTCTCTTTATCATTATTAAATGTGTTTATAATTTCTTAATTTGTTTGTAAACAATGTTTTTATAAATTATTTTTTAAAAACTTTTTTCTTCTCAAAATCAAAAGTGAAGAAAAGAAAAATGTAATGTATAATTTCTTTAGAATCCTAAAATTTCATTAAAATCAGACTCATGGGAATGGAGAATATTTGCAAAATTGTATCAGGAAAATTTGCAAAATCGTATCAGGAAAATACGAAATATAGTTCAATTGTACCTGTCCCAACAATTTAGTTCTAGTGTACATGTCCAAGCAATATAGTTCTAGTGTACCTGTCCAAGAAATATAGTTCTAGTGTACCTATCCCAACAATTTAGTTCTAGTGTACCTGTCCAAGAAATATAGTTCTAGTCTACCTGTCCAAGCAATATAGTTCTAGTGTACCTATCCCAACAATTTAGTTCTAGTGTACATGTCCAAGAAATATAGTTCTAGTGTACCTGTCCAAGCAATTTAGCTCTAGTGAACCTGTCCAAGCAATATAGTTCTAGTGTACCTGTCCAAGCAATTTAGTTCTAGTGAACCTGTCCAAGCAATTTAGTTCTAGTGTACCTGTCCAAGCAATATAGTTCTACTGTACCTGTCCAAGCAAGGCTGTCAATAAATAGATCTAGGAATTAGAGCAGTGAAATTTCACTTAAAGAATGGAGAACATTTTAATTAATGTGCAATTAGTTAATGTTAACTGTGTTATTTTTATGTTCAAGTAAACAATAAATCTATTTCATGAAAATGTTGGGGATTCTTATGAATATAAATATGATACATAGCTCAATTGGTCAAACACTTTTTTTTCATTTTTACTTTTGAAAGGAAGAAAGGTTCGCGCTTTTTTCTCTGGTACCATGTGAGTTTCAAACAAATAAAGACATTATACCAAAATATTGCAAAAATACCAAAATGAAAATTTCATGAAAAAAATTAGTTATGAAGAAGACGATTCTAATCATACTTTTTTGACTCACCCTGTATAAGAAAAAAAGACAAGAATACTTCAAGATTTTTTTGGTTCATAATTACTTCTACGACCATCAAATTAACAAACACTGGCCTTAGAATAATATGCAGACTGTTGACTGTGGTACTGCAATTTTATTATTTTTTTTTTAAAGAAAGGTTTGAAATTATAAAAAAGTTTTGAAAATCAAAAATTTTTGTTGTAAAATATCAGTTTAACCCAAGGGATGTAATCCGTCGTCTTTGCAATAAGGACAGAGATCAGGGACAGAAGGGAATCGGTGTTAGGTATAGATCATGTAGTGACATACAGTACATCGGATAAATGAGAGTTGCGACCTGATTAGACAAGGTTAAGCTTGGAATGCTTATATTCATTAAATCATATTTCCCGCCTTTCGTCTGAATATTGAAATATTATTTGTGGACAAAAATTCACACAACCTCTTAACATGGTTTTGATGCTTTGTTACGATTTCTAAAAGTACTGAGTTGGTAATTTCTATAATTTGATGATTCCGTCGTACACTGTACAGTGTTTGTACACTGTACAGTGTATGTACAATGTAAAATGTGTGAATATTTTGCGCAGATTCTATTTTTGTTTTTGTTTTGACCTGTGCCCACGGGTCCTGATCAGGATGTGCGGCAGGTTTGGAGAAAAATCAGCTTATTTGTCGGTCAGCTCGTCGTGTGTCGGGCCCTTTATACACAGCTTACGCCGGTTATCCTAATCAGTCAGGTTGAGATATATAAACCTCTCTCAGGAATCCGACATTTTTATTCAGTCTCCGTGTTTCCTGTTCTCTGGCTTGTGTACAATTTAACGTACAATTGGGATACATGGTAGACAACTGAAGGATGAGTACTGAGTAGTGAGTAATGAGCCCAAAACTTAAGACAGGGTATCGTTATGAAAACCAGTTTTAAAACCCGGGTTTTACGAATGGGATTAGGCAGTTTTGTGGATATCAATATTTTTGTTATGAAATATTTTTTTTTTATTTAGTTTCTTCATATTCTCCATTTTTTCGAAACTCTTAAATCAAAATCTACAAAATGTTAATACCCCAAAAAGGAAACTCATGAGTTTCGTTTAACGATACTCTTTCAAATTTCGGACTCTGTACAAACTGTCCATCAGCATTCTATACTCTACCCTTTCTCCGGTTTAACCACAATTATAAACTAGTCAAAGAGGAGCTAATCTACCAGATTGTGTATTTATAATCTAAAGTGATCGGCGTTTATAACATTACAATGAAGACGACTTTTCTATAATTTAAGTTTTGATTTCTAGGAAGCTTTTTTGAAATTACAAGTTTATAAGTAAATAAAGAGAAGCTGTTAACTGACAGCTTCTGTTTGTTTACATGTATATGTATATCCAAGCTGTTTAAAAGCTTGGTAAAAACCAAATATTTAAATTGAAAGTCGTCCGCATTGTATTGATATAAACGACGACGACTGAGACCGCTCTGATTACTCTCTAGCTACAGTTACACATACAGTAAATAAACCGGGAAAATATCAATTGATTGAAGACTTGAAAGTCGTCTTTTATCTTAAAAATAATTTTTGCAATTTTTATAATAACAATAATAATAATTACGAAATAGCCCTAGTCCTATCATTTCCATTATGTAGTCTGTCATGTTTTTGCTTTAAGAAATACCAGCGATTTTAAGAATTTTGTTTAAATTTTAATTTATTAAACAAAACCATGAAAATTTCTAACTCTGAACGAAATCTCCGATAATTATGAAGACAAACAAAGTCTTCAATAAACTAATATTATCATTTATTTAGAATAACACTGCATGCATTCTATGATAGCTTCATTTTATGATAATTACAGTTAAGTTAGTTAAGTTATGTTTTTCATATACAGGGTGTCCCGCAAAACATGACAGTTGGTGAATGGTTTAAAATGTCTTTTTCCATAATTTTTTAAGTTGTTTGATACGAAAGAGAATAATAAAAAATATTGTATGGGAGTCATCTTAAAGTAAAATTAACTTCAACGTAAAATATATTTGAATAAAAGATTTTTAAATAAAAATGAACTACAAAAAGTCTTTAATATCTAATACAGCATATTGAAGAATTGTCACCAATTGTCATGTTTATCGGGACACCCTGTAGCTAAAATTTTTGTTTTAAATTGTACAATAGTTATCTTTTTATGAAATGATATCAATATCTATGATTAGTTGTAAACAATAGGCGGGCGTCGGTGATTGATAGACTATTAGTCCTTGATTAGTTGGCCAGTTGAATTTTTAAATGGAATTTACTAAGGATTGCAAAGTTATTTATGGATTTGATCTTTTGCTTAGTAAAACGTTTCACTGTTTCGATTTTTCTTTGTCGAGGTAGAGAGGTATGAGTCGGAGAAATTGTTTGGTTTGGATTTGGGGCTGGTAAAGACGTTATGACCGGAGGGCGGGGGTAAGAAGATGGGTTTATTGTCAAAACCTTAGACTCCCGTCTTTTTTATTTTAAATGTTAAGAAAAGTAAAATTAATCTGTCAAAAAAAATCTACAGAAAACGTTGAAATTTTGTAGATTTATGTTTCAGATAGAATAGAATAAATGTCATTTATGTTTGAAATTCCCTAACTACCCAGAAAACTCATATAATTCGTATTTTGGTAAAAATGTTTATATTGCACTAACACACTTACACTCACACGGGCACACAATTCTACAGCTTTCCCTTTACACTGCAAAGCGTTTAAAGGAAAGGTCTAGTTCCAGCTGTATCGGCAGGGTCAGCCGAACAGATGGGTCTGCTTTACCCCAGCTATACACTAGTACACAGTAATCATCATGTCTTATATAAAACATGTGGAATAGTTCAGACATCAATATCAAATGTGAGTGAGAATAAAAACTTAAACCTCAAGATCAAAGCACACCTGAACCCGAAAGAAAGTTTAAATTTGGAGTGAAAATACTTAAAACAGTGTGTGAAAAAATAGTTTTATAAAATGAAAACCTGAAACTTAAACTGAAACTTAAAGGAGGAAGAGAAACAGGAGAGATCCGTGATCCCTACACCGGGATTTTATAACATGGATCTTGGATTCCTAATTCTGGATTGAGTGTATTCTAGAATCCTGGATTGAGTGTGCAAGAATCCTGGATTGTGTGTTCAAATAATAGGATCCTGGAAGTGTGTATATTAGAATCCTGGATCCCTAAACCTGGATTGAGAGTATTCTAGGATCCTGGATTGAGTGTATACTAGAATCCTGGATCCCTAAACCTGGATTGAGAGTATTCTAGGATCCTGGATTGAGTGTATACTAGGATCCTGGACTGTGTGTGTAAGGATCCTGGATTTAATGTATACTAGAATCCTGGATTGAATGCTGGGATCCCAATGGTTGAATCCCAGTCTCCGGTATGCAGGTTCACCAGTCTCACCAGTTTCAGGATCAGGACAGGACGGATCTCCTCTCTATTAGATCAGCTCAACGTAGGATTGATTTACTCCATGAGGTTGGATCAATACACTCAGGTATAGAGTATATCTTTAAAGGGATTGTTTACCATTTTGATACATTTCACTTTGTCTACATGTTCTCTCAATACATTAAGAGAACACTAAAACACGCCAATTCTAGAAATCAAATTTACGATATTTTAAAACATGAAAATATTTAAATTCGGCTGATCAGTGAACATCAATCAATAATTTGTAATAACTCGTAAAATATTAAATGATCAAATGAAAAAATTAGATTAAACAAATACCAAAATACAGTAACCTGGGCGTTATCTCATGGCAGGGCGTTATTTAACGTGACACCGGTCTTATGCCAGGGCGTTATTTAACGTGAAACCGGTCTCATGCCAGGGCTTTATTTAACGTGACACCGGTCTAATGTCAGGGTGTTATTTAACGTGACACCGGTCTTTCTTGTCTCACACTTTGTGAGATGAAACAACGTTCTAATTCTCAATTTTTTCAGGGTCCCACAGAACCCGGAGTGTTTATACCCAACCTCCTCCCATCCATAAACCATTCATTCAGACAGTTAAAAATGGCCTTAGAATTATTATAGCCTGGATATTTAGGAACATAAATCAAATTATTTTAGTATAAAATTTATTCAATTGAAAATTAAACTTTTTTCAACGTATAACAAGTGTTGAGCTTGATATTGTTTATGATTATTTTACATATTTATTTATATAAATATATTTTTTGATTAATAACCTATCTTGGACGATCAACATTTAAACAAAACACTTTCTAAACCTTGACATAATTTAATTAGTTACATGTCTAAAAAACGAACGGATTTAAGCTGCAAAAAAATGTGGTAATTTGACAGAATTTATCTCTTTTTTAAGATAAAAATTACGATGTCATCTTGATTGTTGCAGGGTACCGTTGTGAATCAAGCAACTCTTTGAATGACTTGAAACTACGTCGACCGTCCCTTTAAATATAAATATTTGGTTTGGTTTAGTAATGTTCTCCCTTTAAATATAAATATTTGGTTTGGTTTACTAATGTTCTCCCTTTAAATGTAAATATTGGGTTTGGTTTAGTAATGTTGTCCCTTTAAATATAAATATTTGGTTTGGTTTAGTAATGTCGGAATCTGTGTTCTTGTTGTTGGATATTTGGTTCTTGGAGCTCTCATGTTCAAGGCAAATATTACTTAACCTTTATTTGGGCAGAGGAAGAGGATTAACAGGAATGGTCCATGTGGCGCCAGGAAGAGGATTAACAGGAATGGTCCATGTGGCGCCATGGAAAATCAAAGGAAGTAATTGATCAAGTGCAAGTATCCTTTCATTGATCCTCCACTAAGATTTCAAATGATTTGTACTTCACTAATCACTATAGAAAAGTCAGGGATGGGGACATTACTCAAATAAATTCCTACAGGTCTGGCCTGGCCCTTCCCGTACTGTACAAATTCTGCTTCATGATTGGCTATATTTCCATTATTATTAGAAATGATTTTCACTGCATCATTGCTTATATAAGTTAAATAACTATGATTCAAATCTATATACCGGGGTTCACGAATGTAAAAATAAAAACTGAAGTCATCTCTGAAGTGATCCTTTATGGGTAACCTTATATCTAGTTGGTAGTGGATTAAAATTATGGTTAAGTAAAATATACAAAAACAGGAATTGGAGGATTTCGAGACCAGTTCACCGCACAGGATCGTTAAGGTTCGTGAGCTGACGGTCGAGCTGCTCTGGAACATCACTGAGAAGTATAACCTCCTTCATCCTGGCAACTGGAGCCTCGAGGTCGAAACTATAGTTAAACAATACCAGAGAGAGGTTGTTGCTGCTGAGGCCCAGGGGTTCGACGGGAATGATATTCCTCAATCTCCCTGGGATTTCTCAGGGGCTCTACTCTTCTCTATAACTGTGATAACTACCATAGGTGAGTTCGCATTTCTGCCGTCTATATAAAGGGAGTGTTCATGAAAATGTAAGGGGTATATCTACTCTCAAAATTTCAGGAATTCACTTGGGAAAATCGCCAAAAAATCGTCCTGAAAAGTACATAGTGTAATTTTAAAGGAAACATAAAAAGGTAAAACTTTAACATTGACATTATAATAGAAGCGCCTCTCAAATTTCTATGCACTGCACCCTGTGCATGGGTTATCGTAATTTTCAGATTCGTTCCATATTTGCTTAATATTACCTGTTTGAAGGGACAGACCGGCTATGTAAGGTTATAGTTAAACTGAGTATGCAGTGCTGTGAACAAATTCTTTAGAATTCATTTGAGACATCGAGAATTTGGGTGGGTACGTTTTCAGAATCGGGTTTTTTAATTATTAAATAACGACGACGAAAAATACATTAAAAATTCTACAGTAAACCAATAAGATGTTTAGGAACATATTTCTCAAAAGAAATTTATCAATAAATTTAAGTTAGAATTAACTATTTCCTTTTTCATCATTATATTGAATTTCTTGTTTTCTATGAATTTGTTCGCAGATTTCTTCAAGTTCTTTAAATGTCGTCTTTTTAATAAAAATTCCAGAAAATCTGCAGAAAATCTTTGTGATTAAAGAAAGATTATAGAAACTGATAATTGAATAAGATTACTTATTTTCGATGACAAGAGTTAATTTTCATTTTCTCAACCTGTTCCTAAACAACTTATTAGTTTACTATAGAATTTTGTTTACATTTTTTGTCGTCGTTATTCAATCATTAAAAAAACAATTCTGAAAATGTATCCAACCAAAAGTTCGATTTTGAACGTCGACTTTGCGCTCAAACTCAGGATTTACAGATCTTTAAGAAGTTTTATATGTCTCAAATGAATCCTAAAGAATTTGTCCACAACACTGCATACTCAGTTTAACTACCTTACATAGCCGGTCTGTCCCTTTAAACTTATTCAAATACCATGTCACCAAATCACTTCTGCAGTACACACCGAAAGCTCAGTTGAGGGTAAGTTGAGAACCAAAAAAACTCTAACATAGGAAGACGACTTTTAAACTTAAGTTATGACTTTTAACAGTTCAAAGAACATGAAGCAAAGCGACTGTGCATTGTAGACAGAACATGAAGCAAAGCGACTGTGCATTGTAGACAGAACATGAAGCAAAGCGACTGTGCATTGTAGACAGAACATGAAACAAAGCGACTGTGCATTGTAGACAGAACTCGATTCACTTAAAAAGTGATTTAATAGATTACAAGTAAAACTATTTGCTTTGTAACAACATCAAATACACTTAATTATTACTTTGATGCCGCCTTACTATTTCTCAGTTTTCTAGTTCTCACTGTAAATTGCTTTTACCCAATACAAGAAATATTATCTTCAACAATTTTCTCTCCGATTAAGGGATTTAAAGGGGCTGTAAGCATAATTTCAAGTGACCCTTTGTGTAAAGATGACAATGTCAGATTTAAAAAGGGAACCTTTAACCTTTAACCTTTAACCTTTAACCTTTATCCTTTAACCTTTAACCTTTAACCTTTAACCTTTAACCTTTAACCTTTCACCTTTAACCTTTAACCTTTAATCGTTGACCTTTAACCTTTAACCTTTAACCTTTAACCTTTAACCTTTAACCTTTAACTTTTAACCTTTAACCTTTAACCTTTAACCTTTAACCTTTAACCTTTAACCGTTAACCTTTAACCTTTAACCTTTAACCTTTATCTTTTAACCTTTAACCTTTATCCTTTAACCTTTATCCTTTAACCTTTATCCTTTAACCTTTATCTTTTAACCTTTAACCTTTAACCTTTAACCTTTAACCTTTAACCTTTAACCTTTAACCTTTAACCTTTAACCTTTAACCGTTAACCTTTAACCTTTAACCTTTATCTTTTAACCTTTAACCTTTAACCTTTAACCTTTAACCTTTAACCTTTAACCTTTAACCTTTAACCTTTAACCTTTATCCTTTAACCTTTAACCTTTATCCTTTAACCTTTATCCTTTAACCTTTAACCTTTAACCTTTAATCTTTATCCTTTAACCTTTAACCTTAAACCTTTAACCTTTAACCTTAAACCTTTAACCTTTAACCGTTATCTCTTTGACTGTTCATTGAGAAAAGAGAGCTCTCTGTTTAAATCTCTTAAAAAACCACTTGAATTCCTGTGAAACGCGGTTTAACATTACCAAAAATATTACATTAAAAGCGATTTCCAATAATTCGAAAAAAAACATGTAATATCTGTCAATTGTGGAAAGTGAATTTTAATATTTCTAAAACTTTATCCAGCTTACAAAGAAAATATTCAACAATTGAAAGCGTTTTCGTAAATTAATGAGAATATGTCCGACAACCTTTATCAGTCGAAGATTTTAAGGACACTGTTATGAATTGAGCACTACCATCTTTGCATGGAGATTAACTTAAAATTACGTGAACACTCCCTTAAAGTCTCAATTTAAGAGTTTGTCCTTTTAATATTGAATTCTGCCGAAGAAGCTGAACATTCAATCTCTCTTTGGCATAATTTGAAATATTTTAATTTACTAGATGTCTCTGTATTTAGGATATGGGCATATTGTTCCTTTAACTCCTGTTGGTAAAATAGTAACAATATTCTACGCTGTACTCGGAGTACCTCTCTTCCTTCTCTACCTCTCAAATATAGGAAAACTTCAGTACAACAGTACATTTCAACATCAACTTCAGTACAATAATACATATTCAACATCAACTACAGTACAATAGTACATAGTCAACATTAACTTCTGTACAATGATACATTTCAACATCAACTTCAGTGCAATAGTACATATTCAAAATTAACTACAGTACAATAATACATTTCAACACCAACTTCAGTTCATTTTCAGCATTAACTTCAGTACAATAGTAAATAGTCAACATTAACTTCTGTACAATAATACATTTTTAACATTAACTTCAGTACAATAGTAAATATTCATTATTAACTTCAGTACAATAATACATTTCAACATCAACTTCAGTGCAATAGTACATATTCAACATTAACTTCAGTGCAATATTACATATGCAACATTAACTTCAGTACAATAATACATTTTCAACATTAACTTCAGTACAATAATACATTTTCAACATTAACTTCAGTACAATAATACATTTCAACATTAACTTCAGTACAATAGTACATATTCAACATTAACTTCAGTACTATAGTACAAATTCAACATTAACTTCAGTACTATAGTACAAATTCAACATTAACTTCAGTACAAAAATACATATTAAACATATTGACGAGTAAGTAAGAACATACAAAGTGAAGTTTTAAGAAAAGATAATTTCAATTCCACTAATCTATTTTTATTTCTGCAACTTGTCTGCTTTTCTTTTCTAGACAGAGAAACAATGTACTACAAAGTTTTCACTATTTTATTTCTCAAAAATTCCAAAATTTACACTTTTTACATTTCAAATCTGATTCAACCAAACATATAGATAATAATTAAAAAGAAAAGAATATCAATTTTTAAAATAAATGTTTCCTATTGTCAAAGAAGTTTTGGTACAGGAAATATTTTAGCCTCCAGCTTTAAATGGACGTATTCAAGAATATGTAAATGTGAACTGGCAAAGAGAAGGAGAAATGATAAGTAAGTTTATATTTTATACTTTTTCATTTTAAGAAATTATTATAATTGCGTTATATTTGTCTTTTTCCTTGTTTCAGTCTTACTCTTTCTGTCTAATATAAATAAAGCAAACTCAAAAAGGGATTTTTTTGCAAACATTTTACATTTGGGGATATATTTTTATACAGGGTGTTTGACGAAACATGACGATTGACAGTTGGTAAAAAATTTAAAATGTCTTCTTCCATAATTTTTCACGTTTTTTATACCAGAGAGAAACATAGAATAGTATATGGCAAGTCATAGTAAAATTGATTTCAAATTTAAATATATTCGAGTAAAAGCAGGGGCGTAGTCAGGGGGGGGGGCTATAGGGGCTAAGTGGAGCAGTGAAAGCTTTTAGCCCTCTACGGATTTTAAGCCCCCCCCCCCATGGAAAACAAAATTTAAGCACGCCCCTGGACAAATTCCTGACTACGCCCCTGACTGTAAAAGATTCTTTAAAAAATAAGCTGCAAAAAGCCTTAATAACTAGTATAGTATATGGAAGAAGACATTCAAAACTATTCACCAACTGTCATTTTATTGTGGGACAGTCTGTAGTTTGTTTGACTGCGTTAATGCTCCATCACTAATTTGTATTTTTTAAAGCGCACAGAAAATTCTAAATTAAAAAAAATATTGTTAAAAACATCCGGGAAAATTTCGTTTTCCTATTTTGATCCGAGTGAATTCTCTAAATATGTGTTTAAAAGTATTTTTAAATAAATTGTAAAAAATATGGTTAAAAAAGTATGAATAAATTTTAAGTTTCACTTTTATATCGCACCTATCTATATGTACAGCTTTTTAATACTTTAATGCTAAAAAATTATCTCTTCATTTCAGGTTTTTCATTTTTGAATAGTTAACACTATAAAGTTTAACAGTTCGCATTTATTTCTTCACACCAACTGCGCAATGTGTATTCATGCATTGACACCCTTTTACTGACTAATATTCTGAAACATATTTAATTTCTGGACACCCTGTGGCGAATTATAAAAATCTGCCGGAAAATATTAGAAAATGTTCGAGCTCCATTTACACACATTTTTTCGCAAGGCCAATATTTACTATTTAGTGCAGATTGCAGAATGCTGATTTTTATTAGCGAAGAGTGTCACGCATTGCCAAAAGTTAATTGCATAATATTCTTAAAAGGAAAATCAGCAATAAACAAGAAGGGGCATTGTAGGAGAGAGAAGGGGGG